TAACTGTGCCCATATTCAACATAATGAAGATATTGAAGGAACATGTCAGAAAGCTAGCTTTGGCTAAAGCTTAGTTGTATAAATTCATTGTAGGTTTCTTTAAATTGGATTTGTTGATAATTAGAAACATATAAGAATAATACATACACAAATGTATATTGTATGGGTTGAAGACCAGATAAAACTTAAGGCAATAATTTCAATCCATCTAAGCATAACTGCAATAACATTGAATTGATGATGATATTAATTAATCTCACTACATACATTTTTCTTAGTGGACACTAATTCCTGCATCATACAGTTGCTTCAAAACTATGTCATTTCCATCAGACCAAGTGTATTGTTTAAATATTTCTAAGCATAGAATGCACAATATGTCAAAGAAAGTCAATCGGGCATGTGTGACTTTGTGCCTTTATGCTGGTTGGATTTATGTCAGAAATAAATAAAGACAAACCAGCCAATTATAACATTGTTGAATAATTCATCTTAATAAGATAACTCCATACTCCCTGTGAGATATGGCTGTACTCAGTGTTTTATCCATTACGCTGGGAGACAGACAACATTCAAAGGCTTTCTGAAAAAGCTATTTCTCTTTATTCCATCAGTTTCTAGCAATAAAAAAATAGTATTCATGAGTCTGGTTCACTAATATAAGCAAATGGTGTTAGGGCACTCTCACTGGAGTTTCAGATGACTCAGACTACTTCGTCTAGATTTGCATCATCACACAGAAAGAGCCTGATTGGCACAAGAGGTGCTAAAAGTACATCTCTGCCTCTCAGCAAAAGGTTACTCATTAATGATGTGTCTCTACAACGTACCAACATCAATCTGACTCACTGACCAAAAAGGGCGATGAATTGTGGGATGTGACTGCTCCACACTTGTCAGTCAGTCATTCAGGAAACAAACAGCAACCTCCCATAGGGATGAATCCATAAAAACAGTGTAACACTTTATTGTTCCCTATGGGTACCTTATTTTTTAAACTCTTGTTGGGTGGTCACAGTTCAGGATCAAACTGCAGAACAGCAAGTCTGAAGGGATTCTTCAAGCTTGATAGTTTAAAGACTGCAGATTAAGTTTTATTTGGCTTTAACAATCTCATTACAGTCATTAATTTACAGACTCTAGTTTAGATGCTGAAGGTATTCTACAATCTGACTTATTTTAATCATGCAAATTAGAGGCCTTTACCATTTACCATAAATCATACATTTAAAATTCAAGATATTGTCAGACCTGTTTCTCTAAGACTATTATCCCTTTTGGAAGAGCTCCCTTTTGTTTTTTGAATGCTGGTTTTTGGCAGTGTGCCACACTGAGAATCGTGGACTCTTTCAGATGTGAGATCCTGGGTGATATTTCCCAAGAGCAGGCTGTATAATATGATCACAAAGACATCGAATGAGCATGTTATGACACAATGATATGATTAGAGATTGTTTGTCATAATCAACTCAAAACATGTGTGTCAGATTATCCTCAATATATAATACAAGAACATCTATACACTGATATAAGTATTTTGGTGACTTAACTGTGTAATGTCCGATTGTGTAACGGTATTTTGATCCATACAAACAATTACAGTGTGTTCTTTTAAAACTCACTCTTGTATTTACAAATTTTAATCCCAAGAAGAGGTGGAGTATCTACGTATCTTAGACTTCCGGATACAAATAAACCTGCCCTTTTCACTCCCAATAAGTGAATAAAGTGATTAGCAACACCCATTTCATTTTGTGCACCCTCTCTCTCCCTGCAGGCTTTTCTCTAATAGTTCGATTCAATACATTTGGAGGTGCAGCAAGAATGAGAGTGCTGTGAGTGCTTCACCTGATAAGATACAGCCCATTTGTCCAAGATGGCTTTTACGATCAGTTATGTGAAATGTATGCGCAATGTAAGTGAAAATTCATCAGGCCACCATTAGTGAGCGTACGTGTGTTGTGAATAGTATTACTTTCTGTAAGTGCAACTTTATATGCAAGTTGCATTCTTTAGTTTGATTTATGTATAGCCATAATGACTTGCATTGGTCAGCCCGACTGAAGGGCCTTTTCAACCATATAGTGATTACTGAATATTTCCCCATCCTCATACTCCTTTTACTACCGTGGTCAGTTTTAGAGCTGTCCTCAGCATTAACACCTACATTTTTATTCTTCCATGCAAATAATTTCATACTTAAGATGTGGACCATGAAGCAAAACCTTTATCAAAAAAATCTTTGTATCAGGTTTTATGTTTCTATGTGGGACTCTGGAAATGGACTGGGCATATGTGATGGTTGCAAGATGCTGGGAGCATTTAGTTTTCGAGTGCTCATTACAAAAGAATGTCAGTCTATTATGACTGCTCTTTTAAAAAATGTGATATTAGCCATCTGAAAAAATAGGCTCCAAGAAAGATTGCAGGCATGAAAAACAAGCCACATCAACGGTCACGTTGCAGATTTGACCAGAAATGTGTTTTTATAACATTCTAACAATCTTAGTTTAGATTACTATTGGCATAGTTCAAATACACAGGGAATGAATTCCAACATGTGCCATTTTATGTTTTCTATTGTGCCTAAATCGTACAGTACAGTTCAAGTTTTCTTGAACTTCAGTTTATTGGTTTAATACTCGCCTGCGCATGCAGCCATATGTTTCGTTGTTTCTAGAAATCTAAGGGTTCTCAGGAGGAGCTACAGACTGAAAATGTTAAATCACTCCAAGTGACGCAAATGCGTTAATTAGTCACATTAAACATAAATTAATTAGTTAGAAAATATCTCATATCACTGCCAAAGACAGCCATGGTGTTGAATAATACATTCAAATGTCACTTGAAAGCGTTTAATGTGTTAGAATTTTCCATTTTGACATCATTTTCTGTGCATCTATAATGTTGGAGAAAGAACTGGGGCACGTTTTATTCTGGACCACTGGGAACAAGAAATATAAAGTTAGAAGACATACCCATCGGCAGAAAGAAGAAAAAAGGCAGCCAACACAAGATGAACATCCCCACAACGATGGCGAGGGTTTTAGCAGCCTTTTTCTCCCTGGAGAACTTCATCAGCCGCACTGAGAGCGAACTTCGAAACGGGTGGTTTTTGCTGCTTTTGGAGCTGGCCGGGCGCGGGTCCTCCAGTACGCTGCGGCAGTGTATCCGGAGGACCACTTCCATCGACTTGTTTCTCTCTCGTTTGACGCCCGCTTCTAGGCTCTTGGTAGTCCTGCGGGCCACCACGTAGACCCTGAAATACATGATGAGAATGACCATGAGCGGGAGGTAGAAGGAGAAGAGAGAGGAGAAGAGCGCGTAGCCCGGCTCCTCTGTGATCCTGCAGATGCTGTCGTCCACAGGCGGCGGTTCCTTCCATCCCAGCAGCGGTCCGACAGAGATGACCGTGGATGACACCCAAACTAGGACTAAAATAGCCACTGCCTTCCTCTCTGTCATAATACTTGGGTATTTCAGGCAGTGTTTGACACCTATGTATCGGTCGATGGAGATGATGCAGAGGCTGAGGATGGATGCGGTGCAGCAGAGCACATCCACCGCAGCCCAGATGTTACAGAAAACCCGGCCGAACACCCAGCATCCCAGAACCTCCAGGGATGCAGAGAAAGGCAGTACGATAATGCTCAGCAGCAGGTCTGCCATGGCTAAGTTGACGATGAAGAAGTTTGTGACAGTCTGCAAATGTTTATTGCACACCACAGACAGAATGACCAAAATGTTGCCAACAATTGCCACCAAAATAAAAACGGAGAGAATGATCCCGACCCCGACAACCTGTGAGTCCATTGTGAAGTTCGTGCATGTCGTGATGCTGTCGTTTGGAAATATATGACCCAAAATAGATCCGTTGAAAGCTTCAGCAAAATAGATCCCATAGTTGCTTTCGTTCCTCAAGTTAGAGTCTGTCATTTTGAAACGCCATAAAGAGAACTTTAGAGTAAGTTTTCACATAAGAGCATTGTGTCGGGCATTGTTTTCAGTCTCTCTTTCCAGCAAGACAGTCAAGCGGGCGTCCTCGTAGACAAAATGTGCCACAGGTAAAGCGAAGGGTATTTGAAAAATACAAATGAAAATGGAAAGTCCACATGACTACATACAAACGCATGCATGATGAGGAAACTGTTTGCAAAAACATAAATATTCTCTCTCAAAAGGGGTTTTGGTTCCAGAGGAAGTCTTTACGCACAGTAATAATAAGAATAAAAATGAAATACATTCAGCCCCATTTCCACGTATTTCTTCCATTTGATGGTTTTCCACTGGTGGCATCCTTTGTAACTGATCACAGAGTCAGAGCTGGTACAGCAGGTCTGAACCTACAGCTCCACCCACACATATTTACTGTTGCATTCACGGTCTCCACAAGAGAGCGTCACTTTAAATCTGGTCACGAATTCTTTAAGACACACTATTAGAAACTGGTTTGCCACTTCTCTTTATCTGACTTGTTTTCATTAACACGTGTTTTAGCTTATGATGATTTCTTGTAGTTTTATATTTCTCTTACTTCAAAATAAAAGGCAAAAAAAAGTTATGACCTCTCTTTTAACCTTTAAAGATAAGCAGCATCAGTAGATGGTGTAAACAGCCACAGGGGAAACCAACAAGCCAGTATTGACCACAGGAGTGCCTTCAGGCAAAGCTGTGAAGTTTCCCAGTGACACCACAGCTGCCATCCCCAGGCCTTGTGTGCATAGCTTAAGTAGAAGGACAGGCCTGTACAAACCACCAGGGAGCCTAGAGGAGAGGAAAGGTCAAGAGGCAGAGTCACAGAGCGGACAAACAAGCCCTGCATGGGAAAACATCAGCACAGGATGCAAAATTACCACTTTGTCTATAGCAACACAGTGTGTTGTGACATGCAGCTCAGTCATTTTTATATATTGTATATATGATGACTTTCCAACATGTAATGGTGAAAAATAATTCTGGCAGCGATGTTATATAATATTATATTACTTTATTTACAGAAGATAGTACCATAGTTTCTGCTGAGACTGTACTACTGTTTGTCCCTTGCTGATTATGGGTTGCACACAATCTCTTATTATTTGAATGAATTTGGAATTAATTATTGTCCCTGAGCTTGAATGTACACATTAACTTTTTTTCAGCAAATTCACCTGCAAAATATTCTTTTGAATCAGTTATAGTAACAAGCAGTATTGGTGGTTTTGGTTGAAGAAGGTTCTCATATCATTGTGCAAAACAACCAAGAGTACAAAAAGCTCCACTGAGGTCCATGATTACAACTGAGAGTGTCTCACATAAGTTTAGAAATATCAGCTTCCATCTCTTTGCACGTGTTGGTCTGCTTCTATATCTTCTTATTAGTTTTAGTGCTTAAAATAAGGCTAATGCTACTGCTACTGGATGCTTGAATTTCCCTCAGGATAAATAAAGTAAGTATCTATCTATCTATCTATCTATCTATCTATCTATCTATCTATCTATCTATCTATCTATCTATCTATCTATCTATCTATCTATCTAAAAGCTTATAGCCATGCTGGAGATATACACTGGAGGATGTATTGGATGTCCAGGTAGTTCAAAAAACATTAGAGCCTCGCCCTGCAAGGCTCTCTGCTGATTACACAAACAAAATTGCTGGATGGATAAAAAATGGAGACAACCTTGCCATTCTTAGATCCTAAAAACAAATGCAGCTGAAAAAAAATACCCATTTGGCCTGAGAACATTGATATTTTGCAAAACTCAAGATAATGTTCAGTGACATTCTTTTATATTCATTGCCAATGTTTTTAAAATTCCCACTTTGTATGATATATGTGCATGGCAACTCAGGCTTATGGTTAGGGAAAGGATCAGGGTTGTGGCAAATAAACTATGGTTATGGCGTGATGTCCTGCATGAAAGTCAAACATGTCACCACCGCCCCAACTACATTACTTTTTGTCTTGTAACATAATGTGCACAATACTTCCTGGAGTTAGTATGGTAAAATACAAAGATTTTGCAGTAATTAAGCATTAATATTAAAATCCAGATGAGACAAGAATTTGGTATTTAGCTTCCTAAGTATCATCTCATGAAGTGAAACGTTGAAAGAGTCTAATTTTTACCTGCTGGTGGCATTAGATAAGAGTCAGAGGATCACAAACATATTTCAGATTTATCATATTATCTGTACCAAATCACTCTGGACCAACAGAGCATAGGACAGACAAGCTGACTGTCCATCAAACCAACCACTGTCGTTTGACTAAAAAGCACAAAAGATATATTAGCAAAGTAGGTTTAATATGGAGTCAGTGCTATGGCTGTGGGTAGCAGCACTCATGGTGAGTCTGCTCAGCTGTCAGAGCACATCCTCATTATTGGATTTATAAAAAAGCTACAGCTTCATCCAGCCCACCTGCTCCTCCTTAACAGAAGTGAGGGCTAAATCTGCTGTCATGCAGAACTTTAGGCCGCACCATACAGGAGACATTTTTTGATGGCACAGAGCATGAACCTGTCAAAAACAAGGATGTTTTAGATAATGATATGTGGGATGAACTGTAGAGGTCACCAATGGTAATGTTTAAGATTCTACTCCTGCCTGCACTCCTGATTCATTACTTCAGTAAATAACTTAACCTTGCAACAAGATATATTTTTTTGCCACTTGGGGCCAGCAGAAAGAAGCTGTGAACGCAACACTGATATATCATCACCTTTTGAGTTGATATGGTGAATTTCTTAGCTACAGATTCAGGTTAAAACTTTCTGTAGGTTCATCACTATGAGCAAACACTTGCACATTCTCACATTGTTTTGACACTGTCATTTCATACATTGCCCCTTTCACATACAGTCACCCTCCTCTTGTAACAATGGAATTCACACGCAGGGTTGGCGGTTAGGTTCCTCAGCCCCCCTCGTCTGTGTGTTAAAGTGTCCTTGAGCAAGACACTGAATCCCAAGTTGCTCAGCAGCTGCCCAGCTGTGTATAGGATGGGTAAAATGCAGAGGACAAATTTAAATTCATGTATGTAAAATACTGATTGTATGTGTTTCACTTGCTGAAGAGCAGACTAAATGTAGAAAGCCTCCAATTACAGTCTTGTAGGGCATCACAAGGAGGACAAGTGTCTGCTAATTTATGTGGGACTGCAGGTGGTCATTCTTTGCAAAGAATTGACGGCAACATAAAATTGGGGGAATAAAACTATTCTGCACTGTTAATGTGATGTTGATGTGTAAGCCACAAATTAAAGTTTAAAGTCAGTACTTTAACCTCACAGCCAATGTTTAGTTTCATAATCATTGTGCCAAGAGCCAAAATAATAAACTACTTTGTGCACACTGGAGATCTTTGATCTTTTTTTTGCCTAGCAGAGTTTATGTGATTATATTACTTTCACACATTGTTAAAAATGCTGTACAGAAGATTTTGGTCAGTCAGCATATCTTACCAATAGTTTCATGGTATGGCAACAGGAGACCTCCATAGCCTCTACAAATGAATTCCCATTTGATGTCTATTTGCAGTATTCACCCTTTGTATATTTATCATATTGGCAAGTATCCCATGATGCAGCTGCTGCAGCAATGAGCAGAGCAGTGTAGTCCCTCCACTTCCCAAAGTAAAACGTTTTCTGTTATCTTCATTTATCTGTGATTCCAAAAAAAAGTTAAAAGGTTGCATTATACGCAACGTACTCTTCAGCTGCACTCCACTCCTCCACAGGCTTTTGGCCTCTAACAAAATGCTGGGTATATCTTGTGATAATGTAATGATACTGTATATGTACAAAAGGAAAACAAATACATTTTCAGCCTATTCAGAATGTCATCAGTATGTTAAGAGTAAGAAAAGGAGGGGCAATCTGTTGCCTACTCATATATTTCCCCATTTGTTATGGTACTAACCCAGATATTTGCACATCATACACATACACACAAACACACAAACACACACACATAAACACATTCTTTCTCTCTCTCTCTCTCTCTTTCTCTCCTCTCAGACTCTCAATATGGTAATCTGCCCAAGACTTTGACTGTGTGCCATCTTATCAGTCCTCAGCAGAGCACTGGGATTCAGTCGGCCACAAGTCATGTCGTGCTTTGATATCACTTCATACATGACTGTTCAAAGACCCCAGTGTTTGAAAAGGTCAGACGGTCAGAAGTTTCTCATATTGCCATCTTTTGTAACCAGGAAGACAACTGACCATCAGGTGTGTGATTTACATAAAAGAAACAAAGCATGTTAACCAATGTTTAAATATAAGTTGCGCTGCATTTTGGTGGCATTTGTGAAAATTCTGTGGAGTATCCATGTGACATAATAAACTTAAGCCACTTTACTTCAAGGTCAAACAAGGGTCTGCTCTTTTCATTCACTGTAAACCAGCAGGAACATCACATGCCTCTCATCCTCTTAGTATTCAAAAGTGTTGATTTTACACCTTGTAACTGTGCCTCAAAGAGCCCTCTTATCAGATAGGCAAAACTTGTTGCATTCACTGCTTTGTTTTAGCAGTGTGGAAGTGGAAGTATTTATCACACTTCACCAATGCATAATTAATGCCATTACAAAATGACACCTATCCCCAGGTGGAGAAGGGTGGAGAGACGAGTGTCATCAGGGCTGCATTACATGATTAACACTTTTTATCATAAAAATGCTGGTTTTGACAGTGCATAGATTTCAATATTTTTACTTTCATAATTGCAGGCAAAGTCTTGCATATTTATTTTAATGAGAGCACTAAACCCCACTCATATGATTCAACATCTGCTCTAAAAATGCTTTCAGTCATTTCTTTAAAATACTAATACATGGATTTTGACTTTCAGTGAAGCAAGGTAAAAGTGTATTTTTGTCACCCTATGAGCATTGAATTAAGATGTTTGAAAACAGTGTCAAATAAGGACTCAGTTATCATGGCAGCTGTGGAATGCAGATCACATTATGATTGTCAGTTTGGATTGGCATGTTTTCAGATTATTCTGTTTGTCTAGGAGTTGTAGAGGCTGTGGCACTGGACCTGAGATAGACCAGAGTACCAGCATGCACACATGGGAGTATCTGAATCAGTCAGAGTCATATGCTTTAAGTATTAGTAACGAGCTACACCATTTCAGATATTCTCTGGAAATTCACACTGCAGATGTGATCGTTTTCAGGCCAAATTTAGTCGGGGGACTGAATATGTTACAATATTAGGGACAGGCTGCAAGTATAAGTGCAAAATGCACCCTCATTCTTACTCATTCTTTTCATTCTAAATTGTATTTTATTTTATTGGTTTATTTGACAGGGACAGTGCACAGCTTCTTAGCTCTACCAGAGTTAGCTTTATGCTATTTTACATCTGTAGTCC